GTCGTTCCCGTCCATGAATTGCAGTAGCTGTTGTGTTTCTGGAGGTAATAGCTGCTTGACTGAATATAGATAAACATCATTATCTGTGTAGAAACTAGGCCTTAGAACATCTTCTAAGCGTGCTTGTCGTAGTTCCTAGTTTTCTATATCGTCACCCCAAGTTAGTTTTCAGATATCTGTTGAAATTAACTCAGTTGCGTTTAATTTGGACAGATAGTTCTGCCAACGTCGGCCAACCTAATTAAGTAATGAAACAATCACGACACTGTTCCCTTTCCCGAATAGTGCATAACTGGGCTGACTGGTATGGTGACATAGCCCTGTTGTGCATGCGTGGCATATGGGAAAGGGGATCGCGGGCGTTGCCTTGTTGTTAGGTGGTGGCGCAGCCTTGCTGAACATACAGTCCATGTGTTTAGCACTGTCACTCTGGAAACGAGCTGTGCTTGGAGACCATGCTGGGACGAACTACGCCATATATAATCACGCACCCAATGTGCATCGGGGAATAAGTAGCTTGGTTCGCAGCACTAGTGGGGATGCATTCGCAGTCCGTTGGCTTACGTCTACCGGCATCTCGCCTTGGCATAGAGTAATAATATAGCGTCAAAGTTACGTATTACCGCGCATCTTGACATGGGTCGATAGTAAATGCCAGCTAACTAAAGGCTAGGCCGAAGTTGGCCCTGGGGTATGTGTGCACTAGCTGCGGTATGTACGACCTTTTGTGCTCTCGAAAACCAGGTATAGCCTACAGGCGGCCTGGCTGAGCCTACGCTACCACTCGTTCTACCCGCGGACGGTTAAGCCTCGCTAAAGGACGTTCCCCCACGGATTGTGGCGGAGCTACATGTCCAGCTTTCCTGTGAGGTGACGTTACCATAAGGGCTTCGGTGGTGCGTCAGGCGAGTTGATAAGTCTTGCTCTCGGACAATGCAGTCCCACACGTCATACAGAGCGGGGGATCCTGAGGTTGTCACCTGGTTCACAATTAAATACGTCACATGTACGGTATACTACACTAGCAAAAGCCAATCTTTACCGGTGTAGAGGGCATTGAACACGCTAATCCTCCTTGTTACCTGGTGCATGGTATCTAACACACGGAGTAAATAATTCTACCTCTCGGGCCACTCAGACTAGCGGCGTAACTGCGTGCGAAACATCAAACAGAACAGGACTAGGGCGCGGTCCAACAAGCTTCGATGAATCAACTCCCGCTGCTGTGGCGGGCAGGCTGAAGACGCATAGCGGGGGCCACGGTTTGTGCTACCCTTCCTCAGGACTTGTCAATCTCAAAGCGCATGCCTCTCTCACCACATTGATCTTTCATCCATCAGCGACATGTCATTTCCGCGCGGTCTGTGTGGGGGTTAGCATGGTTAGAACACTTGGCCCACCGAGGCGCCTGCCCCCAAGTGTTTGGGGATAGTGTATTGATATCATGTATTATTATACCATAGAATCGCGAGCTCTCTGTACAAAGGCCCTTGTGTCCGCTCGGTCCCCCGTTATTTTCGGTTCCTCAAGCTTGCATTTGGTAGGAGACTGTACAGTTATGTCCATTCCAGCATAGCCAGGCTAACAAGGCGCATGGCGATACTGGAGTTGGGTTAAATATTTATAGGATTTGATTAATACTAGGGTCTTGGGTGGCATAACTGCTTGATCAATCCGCTAATTCAATTCGCACCTATTAGTGACACGGAAATTCAGAAAAACGTAATGTGATTAGATCATGAGTGGCTGTGAGATCATCATATGAGAGACCAGCTGCAAGAGAATACTAAATATTGTTGCCAAAAATTATTTCCACTAAACGCACAGCATCCTAGAAGATTAGTGGTTGGCTTATAGGTAGGCCACCCAGATGAGAATGTAGCATCCGTGGGGGGGGAGTATAAGCACATGACACGCTAGGGGCTAGGCTAACATTAGCCAAGGAATCCGGTTGCTTGGCATCCTCTAAACGTATCAGTCGGTCACACTACCGGACGACACAAAGTGCATCACCCCATTTGTTTCACTAATTCGCCAAAGAACTATAACGAAACGCAGTCGTCGTGGTATAACCACACATACAACGTAAGTTCCTTTGGTAATACGACTATTATAAAAGGTTACAAATAAAAAAAAGTACCGATACGAGAATGCATCTAAGCGAGTGTGGCATAATTCGTATCAATCAGTGATATATAACAGACACCTACGCATACACAGAAATATAGAGGGGGCATTGGCAAAAAAGTGTTAAAGGGATAGGTTCCGGGCGCGATATAAGAGAGACTCAATAAAAAGTCTAGCGGTTAGAACAATCATGAGCCACTTAGATGGAACACTCCAGGTGGAAATCAGAAAAAGAATACAATGCTTGGCCACTCCTGTAGGATTATCTCAAAACCGCACAATCAGAGAAACACATTCATAGCGGCGTGAAGTATAAAGGGCGGCTCCACTAAGAAAGCGGGCCCAGTCTGTCTTTCGACCAATTTGCGAAACCAAGTGCAAACGTACTTACAGTAACCAGCGGCATTCGTGTACTCAACGGTAGCAGCGCCGCAAACACAACCACGGAGGCATACCCGCGACTGTGAAACTACACGTGAGCTCAGTTCTCGGAAGTGGAGGTGTTGCGAACAATACAACTGAGTCTATAATGATTGAAATATACTGTAACGCCCCACCAGCTCATCTCCTCTCAATGGCTTTCAAGCACAGGCAGCACAGAATTGTCGGGCGATGCTCGCGTTTCATACTCGCATATGTTCGCGCTGACGTCACCAGCACAGTAAAAGGGCTCCCTCGAGATAAGTACATGACCCGCACTGAACTAGCTTGCATGAATGATACTCATTATCAGTTCCGTCAACTCTCACGTGGGTGACCTAACTTACGGGGTGGTGTACGTTATGCGGTGTCGGTAATATGACGACCTGAAACAATTATAATGCGGTGGTGTGCTTCATCTTCCGCTAACTGCATCGGAGCACAACGCGGGTAGTGCTTCGGAGTGGGTGTCGCGCGATTGTTCCTAGTTACACCTGCGCCCCAGTTGGATCGCCGTATATATTGAGTGACATGACAACATCGCAAGCACTACTGCATGGAGGTACTGGCAGCCGATTTTTTCTTTGCGGAATGACGCCGCGGTAACGCTTTGGGTAACATACGCCGGTCGGGAAAATCTCAGTTACTGTCGAGTATGCAATCGTAGGCATATTTGCACACGCCGTTTACAGGAGAAGAACACGTTTGTAAAGATACCGGTCCAGGATTCTTCACGCGCGCAACGAAATATGAACATGCATCTATGTACACCGTAGTCGCAGCTCCTCACGAAGGATTCTAAAAAGGCGACCACTGGTTGGGAAACTACTGTTGGACTGAATGCGATTAACCTCGGAGTACCAAATCTTAAATTGGTGTGCAACAACCCGAGAGATTGGCACGATTGCGCAGATAGGGTTCTATGTGCTCGATGGGCGTCTATTCCCGTCCGCAGAGCTGGCTGTGCTGAGATCTATCATGGTGCACGAGGTTGTACTGAGTACTCGACAAACTCGCAAGTAAATTGGCCAGAAAACCACAAGTTGTTTGTATCAATGAATACATTTCTGAGCCTAAATTGGATAGAAGAAACACGAGGGGTGGAGGAAATATGTGCGGGTATTCCGGCTCTCCATGGAGGTGCTCATCCCGCCATTCCGTACTGTTATTTTCATGAATAGACCGCTTAACGCTTTTCGCGGCATATCCGGGTCACCAACGGGGACCTACTGCATTACTATGCCAGCGCGGGGGCTCAGTGAATAGCATGGGTACAGTGTTAAGTGAGGAGATCACGAACGGGATTGCCAAAGTAGCTCACACCATACCCCGGCGATAGACACACGCTCCAAAGAGCTAAACCACATTTGGAAATTATACGAGGATAGATGGGAAGCTAGTAAAATAGTTAAGGTTAAAAACGGCCGCGGTTCGTGTTCCACCATTGAAACCAAGGATAAAATGCGATCTGTTCACATGGTGATCTGATACTCACCACGAAATAACTTGTCAACAATTTGGCTTCGTGGCACAATAGTACTGTTGAATTCGGTGTCAGAGAGTTACCGCACAACTGCACCTCAATGACACTGCTAGACAACCACGAAAGCATTGCCACGAAACGAGGGGGCGCGACAGTAGAGAATGCTCTACTGATAATTACAGCTGTGGCTGACCACCTGTTAGTACGTGCATGGAACGGTGCGCGAAGATTATGTGAGCCCTGAAGCAGAACGACGGCCATATGCGTGCACTCAAAACCGAATTCTGGAACCGTAAACCGCTCGTTGTTTCTGGCACTAGGCTGACGGCGGAGACAACACATGTAGTCAAATAAATCATTTCACGACAAGTGATTGGCTGTCTAGGCATGATGAATAAGTTCTTTGTTGGTATTGAACCATGGCGACCGAACGAAGGAGTTACTAGTATATATTGATGGGTGATTCTGTTGCTTGGAAGAAGGCGAATAGTTAAGGCGACGACGACAAATATACTGAGGTCAAGCATAAGAGCGTGCGCTGGGAAAGTCAGAAAAGTATGGTTTAAAATTATATTTCTTCCAAGACTACGGTGTTGGTAGTTTCGTAGCTGACACACAGCTCGTGAAACGTGCGTCACTAATTATGATATTCCTGAACATGTTGGCGCGGGCTTGCGAATAATAGCAAGTGACGGACGAGGTGACGTGACCAACGCAGCGTATTGGCCCTGGGGATATATATGGAATCCAGGGTCATGAGCCAGAGCCATAATGGAATAGGCCGGTACACGCCAGAAAGTGGCGTGGCGATGAAATAGTGATGTTACGGGGTAACATAATATTAGCGGAACAATATGTATCAATCAAGACTTAAATAAAGAAAAGGAATGTTTTCTCTCTAGAAGGCGACATCATGCCTGCTTAAGCTGAATCATGTACATCACAGACGTTAGTGTAAACAACAGACTCAATGAGAAATAATGCAGATGATCTCAAGGGGAGGGGTGGGGGTGGGGTGGGGGGGGTGTGGGTGGGTGTGTGGGGGGGGGGGGGGGAGGGGGGGGGGGGGGGGGGGGTGGGGGGGGGGGGGGGATGGGTGGGGGGGGGGGGGGGGTGTGTTGGGGGGTGTTTTGATATTTGTTATTTTTGTTTTGGGGGGTGTAGAGTATGCATAGAATGGTGTGTCTTGTTGTCTTGATTTGGGAGATGAGCGTCGTTGGTGGGAGGGTAGGTTGCGGTGTGCATGCCCACGTAGAAAAAGAACTTGAACCCTTTCGCCATGTTGGATGGATCCCAATATCCGTGGATCTTGGCGTTAGATCATTCCATATATGTACCACGAAGTAGTGATTTGAATGAGCGGGCAAAGTCGGCATCCCCCACGATCACACGGGGGGGTGTTTACAGATGGCGGGTGGGGGGGAGTAAAAAAAAACCGCTGCCATGCTTTAACCCAATCCATACGCCTGAATCCTCTCTGCGCAGACAATTTGCTAATGTGAGTAAACTGCAACCAACATCGCTGACTCCAAGGATAAAATATATGAGGTGGGGGTGCGACCGTTGTGAGCAGTAGTAGTGTTCGTAGGAGATCGGGCCTGCACAGCAGAGTCCGTGAAGTCTGTCGCAAGATAACTCGCACTCGCGTCTGCTAATCAACATATCACCAAATAGTGCTTCTCGCGTTTTAACATCGGAATCGAGCGTGTCGCCTAATTCTACGTCAACGTCACATGTACAAGGTAGAGTGCGCAGCAGTGGCACAACTTGAGTCAAGGCCTACAAACTCGGTAACCAGGCAGCGTATCAAAGCGCGTCGTCTGGCGATAAGGAATGTAAGGTGGTCGCATGGTGGACCGTGGAATGTTCGAATCAGACGGAATCGCCTCAAGCATGCAATCCCAACACGGGCCTCAGATCCATAACTCATAGCACTGTCGACCTTCGATAAGATCCACAACTGTGCCGATCAGACAGACGCGCAGAGTGCTATATATGTACGCATACTATATTTGGAATATATTATATATATATAATATCATGGCTAGAGGAGAGAGTCTCACTCTGGCATGAACATCACTCCTTCAACCTCCGCAAAACCAAGACTCCACAGGGTAGCGGAGTTTCCGAGTACATACGCGTCTACGAGCAATCTACGTGACTCTCCACGTTCAGCTACTGTGGACTCCACGCCACGTTTCCTCCCCTATGTTCTTTGTGGTCAAAGCCGCTTATCGCTAGTCTGTCAGGGCGTCATTGTCATCTATAATCACTGATGGCAACCGCTGCCAATCTGCAACATACTTGCATAGATTATACTCAGCTAATTGCCTTCACTCTGCCGAAATGGCGCACGGCGGCTGGCCTGTCTCAGCACCAGGACGCGGATGGTTGAGAGAGTAATACAACGATACCGGTGACTTGTTATCTCCGGTTAGGACCACCGCATATCCTAGTTCAATAGCTGCAAAACGTCATAATAACTCAAGACGCAGACGCAAAACAGCCATAGTTCCATAGTAACCGCGGCA